GCGTGCGTGCGTGCATACCGAGCTGTGTCACATAGAGTGCAATGCTTTTAATAGAAAGGTACATCTCAGTTAGTTTCAAAAATTAAATTATTCATGGTTGAATGAGGATAATTTTGCAAAGTGTTTTGTAAGGTCACAGAAGGAAAGCAAAGGTTAGGGGCGATTTATTTGCAGAAATATGAATTCACACATACATATACTGGCAGGAATTTGACTTTATTATCTTGGTGTGCAGGTGGTAGATTTAAAAAGCTAGTTGTCACACAGTATGAAAATACAACTCTGACTGACGGATGGGTCCCCCTCTCCTCTGAGTCATCTCTCTATTTTAGGCGCTGCCTTCACCATTCCTGCAATCAACACTGACATGTCAGGGGTGTTTTTGGATTGCCTCCAACTGTGCTCTGGATTCAAATATCTTTAAATGGTGCATGCAGGGATGTGAGCTTTGCATTTTGCTTTTGCACGTTTCTTTTTGCTATTTAGCCATGATGAAACTAGAAAATTATGTTGGTAGTTTTTTGCTATGTTACCCCTGCATCAGATTGATGACCTGTCCAGGGTGCACCCAGTGTTGTGTAGTGCCACTAAAAACAGATACTATATGGGGCAGACAACCTTTAATAGAGGTGGGGCTTATTATAAATAATTAGCTATAGGGTTGCGAGCCATTCTCATCAGTTTCCGTGAACCTTATCACAGTACCATGTGCCTCAACTACATAGAGCAGAAGAGTCCACACACTGATTTACCCGTTCATCCTATTTTTGATGTGATTTTTGCAGAAAGCTAGATAGGCAACCTTAGCTACCCAACAGCGAGGAAGACAAAATAGACACATAAAACAAAATAGAATCTATGGCTTAACCTCTAGGAAGTAGAAGCAAACCAATGCCACAAACAAAACCACAGTTATCTTTTGAGAATTAGGCTGTTGCCTAAACTTAACCATATTCTCAAAGGATAACTTTGTGGTTTTGTAAGCATAAAGGCCTTTAAACACTGAGCACATTGCAGAAAATTAAAAAGATTCACAATAATTAAGACATGATTGAAAAATTTATTCTCACAAAATGCACTACAAAAAAAATAAATAAATATATATAA